CCGTCTCAGGTGAGCTGCAGACCACCGTTTCAGCAAACATATATGAAATGGTCACCTCAAATGCATCAGTTCGGTCAGTTTGTAATCTAATCTTTTTTTTTCTGTCGCGTCGTGCAGTGGGAATTCCAAGTCGGTCCCCTAGAGGGCGTCGAAGCCGCCGACCACCTCTGGATGGCGCGTTACCTTCTACATCGTGTTGCCGAGGACTTCAACGTCGTTATCACCTTTGATCCCAAGCCGGTTGCTGGCAACTGGAATGGTGCTGGTGCTCATACTAACTACTCAACTCTTTCGATGCGAACCAAAGGCATAGGTATAGAGTAAGTTCAAAACTGAGTGCAATCTGCCTTGGCGCTTACTCGTTCAGCCTCTGCTCACTAGGAGAGCTTACCGTTAGTACCTAAAATCTGAAGTACAATTATGTTATTTGCCAAATTCTACTCTACTTAGTCCCGATCTTTTGTTTAGCGCCATCACAGCTGCGATAGAGAAGCTAGCACTTGCCCACGACGAACACATCAAGGCCTATGATCCTCACCAGGGCAGTGACAATATGAGGCGACTTACTGGTCATCACGAGACTAGCAGTATTAAGGATTTCTCTTCTGGTGAGTCTCGCTCTTAATTATTTATCCTAACATAGCACTACTATGGAATATTACCTTTAAACATGTTGGTTTCTCGCACCGACGTGACGTCTTTGTATTTTTTTGCCAAGGAGTCGCAAACCGTGGAGCCAGCATCCGAATCCCCCGACAAGTCAGCGACGAAGGCTACGGTTACTTGGAGGACCGGAGACCTTCTGCCAACTGTGATCCTTACGCAGTAACAATGATGTTGGTGAAGACGACGATCTGCTAGACCTATGAACGTAACCACCTCTTACTGACTTTCTCCTCCCCTCTATCTCATCATTTCATATTACTTTCCGCCACCTCAAAGCATGAGCACTTAGACAGAGGACGATCCTCGTGAGCCATCGGATCGGGTTCTTCTCACTGTCGTTGCCAATACGTCCTATTCGTGCTATGCTTGCATCAAGCTATTTGTGCTATAGGTGACAGCTCTCACCAACATTATGTCCTCGACTTTTATGATCCCTACTTGCACTACTATTCATTCCTGCGGTCAGCGATTTGGTCGCATTCATCCCTCCCCATTTTGTCATTTCCAGCGATCGTCATGGCCGGAGGGACACTCAGACAACCATTTTTTCGATAATTTTATTTACCCGAAAATGAGCATGAAACATGTTTTAGACTGTTTTGAAGGTGCTTCGCTAAATCCTTTTTCTTTATCAATCACGAGTTCTTTGCGAATCGCATGGAGTGTTAGGTCCTTCTGAAATCCCAAGTACTTCAGTTAGCCTAGTCTAGTGGGGGAGGTGCGATCGCGACCCTTTCTGAGGTTTAGGGTTTCAGCCACTTTGTATGTTCGCCTCCTTGCTGGTGAGTTGCAAAGAAACGGACTACTGATACTAAGCGCGTCATCCAAGCTGAAGAGGATTGACCTGGGAGTGTGATGCACGTGCTCTCATATGTGCATCTTACGGCAGTAATAATACTGAACCCAGCTGATGTCGCTGATTGTACATCTGCTCTTGATCACTCTCCTATGTGGGCTGCCGTGTCAAGTAAACGGCAGCAACCATAGATGACGTAGATTATGTCCAAATGCAATTAATCATCTTTTGATGATCTGGGGTATCCTCACCATGTTGACACGGCGACTTCTATCTGTCAGTAGGTTTAACTCGAAGGGTGGTCCAGACAACGACGGTCAAACAGCACTTCTAGGTTACTTACTTGCATGGTGCAATGTATATTACGACATAGGATGCGTGTCCGGACGGCAGTGTGGATCATGCGGCACTTGTGGCGATGAACCTATGTCGAGTCGGACCTGGGAAGTACACGAATAGCATCTATTCATTGTGGACAGCAGCCTCTCTGTAAGGTGTTTGAGACCTTCCATTGTACTCACGGTGGTCAGTAATGCACCTGGAAAATTATTGGTCTTTGTAATGGTGATGAATAAACGGACTGATTCAGGTACCTTATTCCCCATGACTTACCCCGTGTAGGCCGTCACATCTTTGAGCTGTCGGGCGGTGTCGTTAACCCACTTTAGGTTACTAAACCGCTACTTAGATGCAAAGTGGACATCGTGAAAGCCCAGCAGAGGTTCATTGAAAATCAACTCGGTGGCGTAGTTGGACAGGATGTCGTCCTATCGGATGTCGGAGCGAATATCATCGGCCATGGAAGATTGCTGTAGGCCTAATCGTAGTGATTTCTGTTGGTATGCTTCCTATCTCGGTGACCCGACGCGAACCTGTAATGGAATCGAACGCCTTAGTGAAGGGGACTAGTGATGTTAGAGTCAGGCGATGCGTAGTGATGAGAACATCAATGCCCAGCTTCACACCAACTTGGCTGGAGCTCTTGATGGGGTCATTAACTGTTACGACCCGCGCCTGGTACTTCTAATCAGCACGAACCAGTTTCCCAAGAGCCCGTAAGAGCGAGACGGGGAGAAGACCTGTCGGCCAGTGAGAGAGAGTTTACTCAGACAGAGCATGTTACAGTAAGTCAATCCAAGTCAGCGCAAGTCAAGTCAGACACAGGGTGCATGCACTTTAAAGGGAATGCGGGAGACATCGTCCGACAATGGGCCAATCAGGATTGAGCAGACAAGACTGGCTC